TGTAATATCATCATCCTAATTTTGTAGATGAAGACGCTGAGACAAAGAGGTTGAATGATTTGCTGACACTGCATCAGTACCGGTTCCAGTCAGCATATGATTTTGAATAACATATTCAAGCACAAATAAGGAGAATAGAGAAATTCACACCAGGTCTGCTGATTCTAAGTCAAGGGCTCTTTCTACCACATCACAATTTGGAATAGGCCAAGATGACATTTGTAAGCGTGCTCTAGGATTGGCTTTGTATGTGCTTATTTTTTCCATCTTGATTTTCCAGTGGATTCACTGATTTCTGTCCAATGTGCTGCATGACAGCCTGCTCTAGTGGAAAGGAATGACTTGGGTTCCGAGTGGCAGCTCTGCTCCTTAGCGCCTATGTGACTTGGGCTAGTCACGGCACATCCCTTCTTGTTGCCTTCTCTTCAAATGATGGAGTTGGGTTAACGACAGTAGAAGCATTTACGCAGTGCATTACATATCCTATCTCATTTTATCCTCACAATAACCCTGCAAGGCAAGGGCTATTATTATCCTCATTTTACAGCTGTGGAAACTGGGGTTCAGAGAAAGGTTAATAATGCAGGGTCATACAGCTAGTTATGCCAAAAGCTGGATTGGGGTAACCAGATGGTATAGTGGATAGATTGATTGTTGGACCTGGAATCAGGAAGATAGGAGTTCAGATCCCACCTCAGACACTTGCTGTGTGACCTGGTCAAGTTACTTAACCTGGTTTGCCTCAGTTTCCTTATCTGTAAAATGAGCTGGAGAAGGAATGGCAAACCAATCCTGTATCTTTGCCAAGAACACTCCAAATAGGGAGTCCACAAACAGGTGGACGTCACTGAAATGACTAAACAATAACAACAAGATTTGAATTCAGGTCTTCCTGACTCATAAGTACTGTGCTCAATCCATTAATATTATCCTAGTTATTCTAGAAGGAAATTTAGAAATCATTTAGGCCAACCCTCTCATTTACAGATGGTAAACTAAGGCTCAAAGTTCACTAATGTCACGTAGGTGTTAAATAGCAGAACTGGGAGATGAAAGTTAAGTCTTTTGACCCCAAATCCAGCATTCTTCCTACTGCTATAGTCTATGTCACGCTCCATTCTAACTATAGCAATCTTTGACTCTATGACCTTTGCATCCCATGACCCCAGATTAAGACTTGGCAAACTTTCCAAATGGAGTAAGGAATCAAGGAAGAATGGCCACAAGGTTTCAGTTCAATTCAGATTTAATTGTCACTGCTGCCCTTTGGTTTAGATGATTAACAAAAGGGGATATACAGTCTCATTTAAAAAAATTATTATTATTTAATTATTGTTATTTACTACGCAGTTGTCAACAATAAAGTCAAGCTTATACCAAATTCAAGCACAAATAAGGAAAACAGAGAAAACCCAAGCTGTTTCTTGCCATGAGTGGTTTGCAAGTTGTTTGAGGCTTTCTGTTTGATAGAAAAAAGAAGTGTTTGGGGAGGTTTTCGACATTGAAATATGCGTGTTTAGATGTTGTTGTTGTTGTTGTTAATTTGGACGGGCTTGCTATGCTCCTGGTTAGCAGTAAACACATCATGTGAAGTGCCTGCTTGGAAGGGGCTGCAAAACTTGGGAATGTATTTGGTAGATGGAGACCCACATTGTGATGGGTATTATGAAACCGTCACTAACAAGTTGTTGCTTTGTAGCATTTATTGTATCCCGAGCAGCTGCCAAACACAGAACAAGACACAATGAGACACCAGTCCCAGCTGGCACTGGGGAGGCAGCCAAGATTTCCTGCCCTTATCGCTGTCACTTGTAAAGAAGAAAGTCTGAGATGCAGAGCCCCAGAGAAGTCCAATTTCTTTCAGAGACTTGACTTCTCCCTTCGGACAGTGGGGGTTTTAGTAAAAAAATAAAGATGGACATCAACTTTATTGTTGATGAAGGGCAGAATCTATGGAGGAAAGAGACCGTGGAATCTCACTCATGTAAAAAGAAAAATCACAAATACTGCTGAGCCAAAGATGGTTTCCCCAGAGAAACGGCCTTGAAAAGTGATTCCAATACTTGCCCCGTGGATCTTCTCTTCACAAATGCTCTCAAGTTTAGAAGCAAAATAAATAGTAGGTATGTTTGGAAATCAGTGCTTTCATTAGAATTTATATGGAACAAGGAGAACAGAATTAGATGAAATCGCCAGGAATTCCTACACCTCTTTTGAGCCAGTCCTTCTCCAGTCCACCTGTCACCAGACTTGCTAACAAACTGCAGTCAGTCAGCAGGCATCTGCTTATTGAGTTCCCACGGGGTACTTTGTACTATACCTTGAGTATTGAGCTATACACTCAAAAAGGTCAAACTGTCACTTGTTAAGTACTGTGTCTCCCCCTTCCTCTGACTTTTCTTCAGTTTCCTGCTTGTTGGCCAGTTGGAAATGCTACCCAGAGAATGAGCTAACCAACAGTTGGGTGGGACCAGGGAAAAGGAAGGAAAACAAAGAGTCTTGATAATGTTCAAACTGGATGTAAGTCTTCTTCATCAGGACTTTGAGAGGCAGCCTGACAGGAAGACATAAGGCCAGCTTTGGTGCCAAGAAGACCTGGGTTCAGGTCTTGTCTCTGGCATTTACAATAGTCTGAGCTGTGTGATTTGCTTTGTCATTTAAATTCTCTAAGGCTATTTGTGTTACAGGTGTACATCTGTACCTGAGATTCCATACCCTGAAGGAATCACAAATCTGGACTTTCCCTCTGCCCCCCCCCAAAAAGTAACAAAATCAAATCAAATCACATATGGACAATCCTTCCACAAAGCTACAATAAATATGAAAAAGCAGCAATCAAGATAGAAGTTTTGCAATCCCAAGTTCCCCCTTCAATCGCAGCCCAAACAAAATGGCCCTGTTTGTGTTATTCCCCAATCTGATCCCTTCGAAGTGCTGCATAACAACAGCAACCTAGTCTTAGCAAACAGAGAGGACTGCCAATTACAGTAGACACGCTCAGTGCAAGTATGGCTGCCCCAATTCTCTAACCGTAGTAGGCATTTTGCTTCCTTCTCCTTTCCCATTTTCCTAGGAAGACCATGGTATGCATGATGCAATGAACTCAAAGAGTTAAATAAGTAATTACTTAGTTACTAGGTATGTTTGGAAAGGGACCAGGCCCAAACACCGCAGGTGGGTTAGTCATGGTGCTGCAGGTAGATGGGATCAGATGCTAGTTCTTCTCGAACTGCAAAAGCCAGGAGTGAGCACTGGAATAAGTCTGATGGAGGGGAATGGAGATAAGATACCCAAGTTCTTATTCAGACTCTATCACTAACTAGCTGTGTAATCTTGGATATGTCATTTATCTTCTGTGGGCTTCAGTTTCCTCATCTATAAAAGGAGAATGTCCCTTTCAGCGCTAAAATTCAATGATAATGTTGCTTCCTCTCCCTCCGATTCTATGAATCAGCTTTGTCAATATCAAATATCACTATTTCTGCTCCCTAATCACTCCCATAGTTCATAGGATCATAGACCCAGACCAGATGGCATCTCAGAAACCAACCCCTTCATTTTATAGATGAGGAAATGGAGGGTCAGAGAGTCTAACTTACCCAGGATTTGAACGCAGTTCCTCTGACTTCAGAGTCAATACTCCTTGCATCATACCATATCAGCAATGGAAAGTTTTGTCTGGCCACATATGCTTTCATGAATGGAAGCAAGTGGTTGAGTATTGTTAAACTAATCAAATATCTGAATATGAACTATATTTTCCAATCTCAAGCCTGTCCAGGGCTTGTGTTCCAAGTCTCACATCATGGATCTAACATGATGGTGACTTACTGGTTGCAGTTTTCTTTAAATGCAATGCAATGATCTTTTTTTCAGTCCCTCTACTTTCATTACACTAATATTTTCCAACCACTATTCCAATGCAAAAAAATGACTAGCCTCTATAGCCACAGTAAAAATGTTTTCCTTCCTGTCTCTTAATTTATGAATCCAACTTTCTGATGATAGAATGTGAGGAGCAGATGCCTCTGGTGTCAGGGTTTCCTACCTAGCTTCCTCTTGATGCATAGCTCTTCCTCTGACTACTCAGTTTTGTTAGATTTATTTAGTCGTTTCCGTGGGCAATGATCTTGCGTCAGAGGCAGAATAAATCCTGAGGAGGGTGGTTTTGCTTTCTCAAATGGTTTCAGGCTAGTGAATGTGTTGTTAAGAAGTAGGAAAATGGAGATGTTTACTTGCATGACCTATATAGAGTGTAACCTGAAGGATAGATTATAAGAGTCTTAAGCCCATTGACCTATTGCCCACAACAAAGTATTTTCCTATGAGACATTTCTTAATCAAGGATCTAGTTTCCTGAGAAGCTTTGTAGCAGCTTTTCCTCTATTATGCTAACTCTGAAAATACATAAACTTGAATTCTTCTGAGTGTGAGCTTTTTTTTCTAATCAAAATAATTCTTTAGGGCCCATTTAAAGTGCTTTAATTTTATTGTTTGCCTTGATTTATAGGGGAATGTGTTCATTAAATTGACTTTTACAGAAGCCCAAATTAATTTGGTCATTATCATATTGGCCGATGGTAGGGGGCTCTCAGCATGAGATTTTCAGGCGACCCTTAAGTTGGTGTCAGTTTCTTGGCTTGGTGAAAGATTCCATAACATCACTAACACTACACAAGAGTAAACAAACGTTTGACCCTGAGTTCTTATCCTCTCTGGGCATTTGCCCGAGCGAGAAATATTATATGTGCTGAGTGCCAAGACAATTCTGGACTCACTTTCCCACCTCATTAAGTCACATTTTGCAAAAATATCCATTATCCAAGACGTTCAACTGAGAACTATAACTTGCTATTGGGGGGCTTTGAAAGTCCAAAGGACCTTCTTGGGTGGTGGTAATCTTCTCACCCAAGGTAATGAAGCTTTCAGTCCTTCAGGCTGGCAGCTTTTACATGGCTACAAGGTCATGATGTTGGAAGAAGATTCAAGAATCAGCTATAAACATCAATAGTGGGCTTTTTAATCCGACCTCATCGGGTTCAATTAGATTAGATGAGAAGAACCAAACATCAAGGAGAAGAACCCTTTTCCCAGTTTTCAGAAAACACTTTGGATGAACATTCTACTCTCCCTAACTCTCAACTATCACCAGCAGACAGACATCTCTTAGGGTGTAGGCCACTTTCTGAGAAAATGGCAGCCATTTCCCTACTTTATTAATAGTGAAGAACTGAAAGTGTTTATGGCTTAGAAAAAGCTGACCACCTGACCAAACTAGACTGTAGAGCCATATGAGATTAGTTAACCCTCAACTTTCAGCCCTCGTCACTTTGCTAGCAGAAAATTCTAAATCATACTGTCATTTCTTTGCAAACACAGGCAGTTTCCCCTTAACCTCTAAGTGAATTCGCAATATTATCAGTGCCCAAAATGCCATGTGAATTAAGAGCAGGAAGCCACATGTTGAAAACAGGAATCACTCTGACTCTCTCTTACAAAAAGTCAAAATCCCCGTGGATGGATTCTCCTGGTCCATTTTTCCTTCTACAACTCCCCAGAGTTGTCATAAGATACCTTAAAGCCAATCTGTTTACAGACACTAAAAAGTACGTGAAACAGGCTGCCAATAGTGCCAAAGGCAGTGTCCAGGAGGAGATAGAAAGTGCCCCCCAGGCCCACAGCAATATCTTTAAGGACAGTTGGGATGGCACAAACTGTGTACATGGGGAAACTGACAATGTCCACAAGGACTCTGATGGGGATACTCAGAATTCGGCAAGTGGTTTTTAGCAGGCAGCAGAGGATTCGTAGAAGGGCCCTGATGATTTTGACAATGACCTTGACCACTTTCCAGGGAATGCTCACCAGTTCTTCCCCAATGGCCATGAAGTATGACACTGTTGCTGAACACATCCTATCGACTCCATTTTCCAGAATACCTATAAATTGCTTGGTAATGTACCACAGGCAATAGAGAACATTTTTCAGGATTCCAACCACGAGGTAGTATATTAATTGGAAAAGCTTGACAAAAGGGGTAGCGACAATGCCGCCAATTGTTCTGAGCAAGCCGCTCTCATCGGCTTCCTCTGGCAATGACCGAGCAGACCGTTTGTTCTGAGAACTGGATAATTGGCTAGAACTTGACTTAGCCTGGACCATCCTCTCTTCATCCTGCACATGGTTAACCATCTCTAATATTTTTTTCATTTTCTCTGTGTCTTGGTCTGCTTCCCCACAATTGTTTTGGAACAGCTGAGTCCCAGATGGGAGCAGCTTTTCAAGATCCTTCACCATCATATCTTCTATGATATCCCCATCCCTCATATGCTTGATGAATCCCATAGACCACCCTCCAGGAGCAGCACAGCAAGCAGCCAACCAAACAAAGTCAGGGACAGATACTTTGTCCTTAACTCTGCGGTCTGAGGGCACTGCTCCTGCAATGACATACAGGTCATCCCCATTCCCACAGTATGGGGCCAAGGCAAGATCCATTAGGCTATTCACATTCATGTACCACCTTTCCCTTAATGATTGGGTCATAGGTGCGGCATTCGTGAGGGTGTACGTTGCCACCTGGAAATCATCACTGTTAAGGGAACTGACGTACAATTGTCCTTTTTGGTAATCAGAATCCAGGTAATCAGTACTTAGGGCTTGTTTGCTTCCAAGATTGTCTACAGAGTTAACAGCATCTGCTTCAGTAATCATTTCTCCAAATTTGCTGTTGGGGTCATCTATCTGAAAGAAAAAAGACAATACTATATTGAGTTAAGTCGAAAGCCCATAAAATATGTTCCTGGCAAAAAGAAGCACATTCTTTTAATGGATGTTAAGCACCTACTGTATGCTGAGCACTGGTGCTGAACAAAAGGGGAAGTACAATTGGAGGTGCCCATCAATTGGGAAATGGCTTAATAAATTATGGTATGTGAATGTAATAGAATAATATTGTGCTGTAGGAAATGATGGAGAGTTTCTCTCTTTGTGTGTGCAATCACGTAAAACATATTTCCATGTTAATCATGCTGTGAAAGAAGAAACAGACCCCTTCCCAAAAAAGAAAAAAACATGAAAAAAAATAAAGAAAGTGAAAAATAGTATGCTTTGATCTGCATTCAGACTCCCTCAGTTCTTTCTCTGGATGTGGATAGCATTTTCCATCATGAGTCTTTTGGAATTGTTGTTGATCATTGTATTGCTGAGAATAGCTAAGTCATTCACAGCTGATCATCATACAATATTGCTATTACTGTGTACAATGTTCTGATGGGGACAATTTCAGAGAAACATGGAAAGACTTGTATGAATTGATTCAGAATAAAGAGTACAGAACCAAGAGAATACTTTAAACTATGGCAGCAGCACTGTAAAAAAAAATTTAAAGACTTAAGAATTCTGATCAATCCAAGGATCAACCATGATTCCAGAGGGGTGATGATGAAGAATGTTACCTACCTCCTGACAGAGAGATGATAGACTATGCAGAACGACACACATTTTTGGGTAAGGAGTTACTGAAATCAGTCCAAGAAAATGTCATGTAAGATTGTTTTTGCTTGTCTGAGTAACTATCAGAGGATCCATCAAAATGATGGAATCCAGTCTGTACCATAGGACATGCTTTCCACCATTACAGTCTTCAGGCCAGCACAGTCATGTAATAATTTCACACATATGATGTCACTGTCCTACCATAGCAATGGTAATAATATAGAAATATTACCTTTGGGAGGACTTTCTGAGGGAGTTCCTAGAAACTAAGGCCAAAGTCATGGATGCCCATTGACCAACCCTACTTCATTAAGAGTCGGCTATTTCCAACTAAGTGGTAACTATTTCCAATTCAATTCAACATGCATTTGTTAACCACCTATTATCTGTAAAGTTCAATGTTAGGTGCTGGAGAGACCAAAAAAAAAAAAGCAGAGGCAGAAGATGGAATGTTGTATATGGGGAACCCCAAGTAGACCAATTTAGCTAAAGATCAGTGGGCATGAGGGGAGTAAGTAATATGAAATAAGCTATGAAACATAGGTTCAAGACAGACAATGAAGGGCTTTAAATAGCAAACAGGATATAAGGGTGTGGGTGGGTGAGTATGTGCTTGAAAGTATGCATGCAGGTACGAGTCAGAGTAGATACATCTTTAGGATTTACAAAATCTTTGCAAACTGGAATTCCATATCTGTTGCTATTTGTCCTAACCCTTCCCACTCCTTCATTGAGTCAGAATCTGACACTTGGGGAGATCATCAAGGGATGAAATATCACCTCACCTACTTAGAGGTAAAGGTTTGCAAAGACTTAGCTCTTTCTTTAACTATATCCCCACATCAGCCCAAATAGCCCACAATCCTGTCAACTGGGAAACTTCCTCCCCCCAAAATTAGCCTTGGACTTGTCTTTAATCTTTAATAATCTATATATTTCATGGCTCCTTTGGGGCAAATTTTTCAGTAAGACTGAAATAACTAAACATTAGAATGAAAACGAGAAAAGTTGATCTCAACACACTCATAAAAATTAGAACCGCAACTGAAGCAATCAACAGAAATTCTCCAATGGTTGGCTAAAATTCAAGGCACACGTTTGTAGTAAAATTTTATATGCTGTGGTGTGGATAAATACTTTAATTGCTCTAATCAGAGCATTTAAATCAAAGTGGGGAGAAAGTACTGAGTTTAGTGTTGATTCTTAGGCATTTATGCACATTTAAAATATCCAAACCAGGGCAAAGTGAACCTTAAATGTATTCTGTTTGGACTTAATTTCTTGATGACATTTATTTTTTGAATGTCTGGTATTTATAGATCATAATACTCATAGCTATGTTTTTAGTGGCAGCAAAAACAAACAAAACAAAACAAAACAAAACAAACCCAGGAAAGTACGTGCCTATTGATTGAGGAATGGCTAAAAATATTTGGCTTATAGAAATAATGGAATGTTACTGTACTATAAGAAATGATGAATATGAAAATATACCAGAAACACGGGAAGACATATTCTTGATGAAGTATGCAGAAGCAGGAAAATAATATACACAATGATTACAACAATGTAAATGGAAAAAACAAAAAACTGAAACAGAACACCATATGAACATAATGACCACATTTAGCAATAGAGAAGTTGAAAAAATACATTTCTCTCCTGTATTTGCACAGATGAGGGACTAAGGGTATGAGACAGACATACCATATACTATCTGACATGGTTGAAATGTTGCTGGTTTTCCTGAGTTGCTTTTCAAATCTTTGTAGCAAGGGACAGCTAAGTGGATGGGGGAGGGATATATTAGGAAATGAAAATGACAAAAAAACAAAAGTAATCAATAAAATTAAAATTTTTTTTTCAATCTTTGTTTTCTTTGGGCTAGGCAATAGGGTTAAATGACTTGCCCAGGGTCACACAGCTAGTAAGTGTCAAGTGTCTGAGGCCGGATTTGAACTCAGGTTCTCCTGACTCCAGGGCCAGTGCTTAAAAATTTTTTTAAGTGAATGAAGTTGGATGGGCTTGTTCTCAAGCGGTCAACTTAGGGTGGGGATGGAGAGCACTGGGAGATTTTGGGGTGTTACTGAGAAATGCTTTGTTCTACTCCCCTTTCTCTCCAAGAACTATACTTATTCATTTTTACATATACCTGCAGTGTAGGAGTAGGGGGTGAGAGGGTAAGGGAAAGGATCCACAGTGCCTTGCACACACTTACTCGATAAATGCATGTAGCTCATTAAATTCTTATCCCAACACCCAAGAGTAGCTTACAGAATGGGAGCAGCCCTTGCAGAGAGGCAATAGGTATGCATCTTTCCCACTCCCACTCTGTACCAGAGTTTTTCTTGAAGGCAGAGTGGGTGAAGGGAGCTTGGGAGGGGAAAGTGAAATCAAACAACAAAGTTTATTGAAAATGTACTGCAGAGGGAGCCATAAGGCGCCATTTCTATAGTAGCTTCATCCCTTCTCTGAGTCTCCAGTCAAGCACTGGCTTTAGAAGCTCTCTAGCCCCATACCTTGCTATACCAATTGGCTGTCACAGAGGAAAGCTAAAAATTCCATTCCTTTTGTAGAATATTGCCTCAGCTGAAAAATTATAAAGAGTAAACATAGCTTGAAAGAAGAGATATGGGAAGACACTCCCACCATACTCCTTTGCTGAGGTGGGAGGTTCACAAATATTTTATATTGCACATATTTTCAGACTTTTTTGATGTATTAGTTATGTTGATTTTTCCTCTTTTTCTTCATCTTTAAAAATATTAGTTATTATATGGGAGGGCTCTCTGGGAAAGAAGGAGTGATACTGGGAGGGAACATGGTGTTATAAAAAAAAAAAATAAAAGAATATTGCCTCAGCTCCTAGAGAGTTGGGTGATAAGCACCATGGAAACACAAACTTGAATTCTTTAATCATAATAATAGCCATGTGATCAGGATATTGAGCAAGAACTAAGGGTCAACAGAGCCTAAAGCCTCAAGGCCAGAAGTCTTTAAGTTGCAAACCGTGGTGCTTAGCATACTGCCTGGCACATAGTAGGCACTTAATAATTACTTATTGACTGACTAAATGACTGATAAGCATAAGGTACAGAAAGAGACATGTTGTTTGGACATGACTTTTGTGTGAAATTTGTTTTACTTGACTAAGTTTATTTGTTAAAAGGTATTTGTTTATTTGTTAAAACTGTTTCCCTCAGTTTTTAATTGAAAGGGGAAGGATCCAGGAGGATTAGGTAATAATGATATAAAAGAAGAAGGCCATTGAAACATTTTTTTTTAAAGAACAGAAGAGAATAGAAGGACGTTCAGGGAAAAGCACAGCAGAACAGTTTTGAAAGTAATGTGTGGAATTTATTATATGCTTTTAAAAAAGCAAGTGGTAGGAAATGGAAATTCACTGTTTCATATAAAACTCTGGAAGTTCTGCTGTACATTTGGAAATGTTCTTTTTCGGTGTTTCAAGTTCAGAATAAACAAATACAATTTTAAAAAAATCGAATTTGACTTTGGTCATTAAAGTAATGGATGTTATTTTGACCCTCAACATCTTTTATTTGTTTCCAAAGAAACTTTCGGATTAGTTGAAATAAAGCACTCTCTTGTTTTGTACAAGAGCTGAGAAGAAGCCAATATAGTAATGAATTAAGCAACTCTCCACACTAAATATCTCTAGTGGAGGCAGCATGGTGAAAGAATGTTGGACATCTATTAAGAACAACATAATATGATATGATACATAACATAATATGATAATGATGACGATGATGACAATAACGATGATAGCATTTATATAGCACTTTAAGGTTTGTAAGTGCTTTACAAATTTTAATTCATTTTATCCTCATGACAAACTTGGGAGGTACGTGTTATCTCTGTTTTCAGATGAAGAAACTGAGACAGACAGAGGTTAAGTGATTTGCCCAGGGTCCCATAGCTAGTTAAGGGGTGAGTCTGGATTTGAACTCAGGTCTTCTTGACTCCAGGTCCGGCACTCTATCCACTGCTCTATCTACCTGCTAAAGTTAATCTCTCTGTGCTTCTATTTCATCATTCATACTATGGGCATAGTAAGATTTACACTAGCTGAGATTCTCTTGTCCATATATGTATTTACTCCCTCCAATAACTAGATACATTCTGTTATCTTTTTGAGATAACAATTTGCTGATGATATGGGAAGGATCTATAGTACCTGGAATGAAATAAGCTCCTAATAAATGCTTGCTAAAGAAAACAGACTC